CACCAGTTAACTCTAACTCAAGTGACTGGAGCAGGCACTTGTATCGGACGCCCCCCTTCTACCCTAGGCATTTGCAATGAGATCATAAGCATTTCAACTGGCAACTATTACTTGGTACCCCCAGGTGGAACCTATTGGGCATGTAGTACTGGGTTAACCCCCTTGAGTGTCAGCCGCTGTTTTAAATTCGACCCAAGATTATTGCGTGTTAGTCCAGCTATGGCCACACATACATTATCATTCCAATGAGACTGTGCTACAGTATTATGAAGGTTCCCTTACTCTGGCCATGTTACTAGGGATAGGAGGGGTAACTGCGGGCATTGCTACCGGCACCACAGCGCTAGTACGCACAGACAAATATCTGTTTTTACACCAGGCTATGAATGAGGATTTAAAGGCCTTCCAAAAGTCAGTGAGAGCCTTAAAGGAATCCTTGACCTCCTTATCTGAGGTTGTGATACAGAACAGACGAGGATCAGACCTACTGTTCCTCAAGGAGGGAGGCCTTTGTGCAGCCTTAAAGGAAGAATGTTGCTTCTCTGTGGAGCAAACCGGGGTGGTAACTGAAACCTTAGATAAACTCAGAGAGAGGCTAGACAAGAGACAGCGAGAATTTGAATCGCAGCAGGGTTGGTTTGAGGGAATGTACAACAGATCCCCTTGGTTCACCACCTTGATATCCTCCCTGATGGGACCATTAGTTCTCTTAATGTTAATCCTCACTTTCGGTCCCTGTATTCTTAATCGCCTGACCTGGTTTGTTAAAGACCGTTTGTCGGTCACACAAGCGCTGGTGTTGACCAACCAATACCGGGTCTTAAAGCAAATGGAGACAGAAGTTCCCTAATAAGTAAATGGTTTTACTTATTTTAAAGAAAAATGGGGGAATGAGAAGACCCCCGCCCGTCTGCCCTCGCAGCTACCCCCGCCTGCTTCGAGGAATTTCCTTGCAACCAGGTCAAGCTGTTCCCAGGTCAGCATAATCGCCCTGAGGTTAGATGGGCCCCTAATATGAGAAAACAGGATATCTGTCACCCTAAGACCAGATGGGTCCCTGATGATGAGAAAAACAGGATATCTATAGTCAGACACCTGAAGGTCAGCCTTCGGCTGATAGGAAGACAAGAAAAAGAAGCAGGAAGCCCAGAATGGGCTGCCTTAACTTATTCCCACGTATTCAAAATGTATAGACAACCCATCCCTGACCTGACCCCATCATTTTATCTGAAATAACCATTGTGAATGCTTCCCTCCTGTAAGCCTGCTTCCCACCATTTTATCTGAAATAACCATTGTGAATGCTTCCGCTTCTGTAAGCTCGCTTCTTGCTATATAACCAGTCCTGAATCAAGTCCATCACGCTCAGCTACCCAAAAGCTGCAGTGTCCTCGGGCGCCCGTGTGAACAAATAAAAATACCTCTTGTTTTTGCATCCAGTGCGGACTGATCTTGGTTTTTGGGCGTCGGGGTCCCTGAGGGGAGAACACCCGAATTGGGTATCTTTCAATATTAATTAAAATACTGGGAGCAAGGCCAGCCTGGTCTACAAAGCGAGTTCTAGGGCAGCTGGAACTACACAGAGAAACCCTGGGTTGTACGAGTTCTAATTGGTCTTAATAATAAAAACCCAGAGCCGGATATTGAGGCAAATGCTGAAAGATCAGAGGGACAAAGGAGCAAACCACAGCCAGCTCTTACCCTGCTAGCTCCTCAGTCAAAAACTGGGCTGAGCTGTCTCCTCCCGCCTTATACTCCTCTCTCCACCCAGCCACATCAGTTCCTGTCTGTACAGACTTCCAGACCGCTATGGTTAACTAGTGGTTAGCTCTGTCCTCTGATCTTCAGGCAAGCTTTATTTGTTAGAATACAAACAAGATATCACCACAACCCTGTCTCAAAAACCAAAACAAACCCCGAAACAACAAAAAACAAAAACAAGCAGAATTCTTAATTCTTTAAAGTTTTTGTACATTTATACCATGTATTTTAATAATACCTATCCACCATTGTCTTTCTCCAGTTCTCCCCTGTGCCCCCAGTCTGTGTCTCTCTCAACTTTATGTCTTCCTAACCCTGAGTCTAGTTAGTGCTGTCCAGATATGCATGGGCGTGGGACTACCCACTAGGGCGTGGGCAACCTATTAGCAGCCTCTACCAAAAGGAGAGTGACTATACCTCCCTCAGCACCCACTGACTGTTAATGGTTTCCCCACCAAGCATGGACCCTTGAGGGCCCATCCCTAGTTCACGCTGCCATTTTGACCGGCTTGATCTCGTATAGGTCTTGTGCAGGTGATCACAGCTGCTGAGTTGATTTGTGCAACAGCTATGCCATGTCAAGAACTGAACATTTGGCAGCTCCCCTCATCGTTCCCTTAACCTTCCTGTGCCTGCTTTTCTGCAGTGCTCCCCGAATCTTGTACGGGGGAGGTTACTAGAGATGACTCATCCGCAGCTGAGCACTCACAGTTCAAGAACACACATCTTCAAGTACCATTTGTGTTCTTAAAAGGGGGTAGGTGGACATAAATCAGGGGGTTGGAGCCAGTGTACTGAACCTGTAAATGAGACTTGTTATAGTCCCATTTAAATAGGTAATAATAATAATAAAAACCCAGTATCCCAAGTCTGGCTTCTTAAAGAATCCTTCATATACAGAAAGACTCAGCTGACATCTGATAGCTTTGCTTTCTTTTCTCATTTCTTCATTGTGTTATTCTGATGAGAATTTTAGTTTTGTTTGTTTGTTTTTATTTTATGTATATCAGTGTTTTTCCTGCACGCAAGTTCACCGCATGCATGCATTGTCTACAGAGACCAGAAGAGGGTATCTGATTTCCCAGAACTGGAGTTACAGGCAGTTGTGAGCGGCCGTGTGAGTGCTGGGAAGTGAACTCCTGCCCTCTGCAAGAGCAACAGGTGCTCTTAATCACGGGAACATCTCGCCAACAAGATTTCTATTTATTCATTTATTTATTTTGAGACATAATCTTATACCGTAGCTCAGGCTGGCCTGAAACTCACTGAACAACACAGGTTTGTTTCAAACTCATAGCAGTCTTCCTTCTTCTACCTCCCCAGTGGCAGAGTCTCTGGTGTGAACCACCATGCCTGTTTTCTGCCAGATACACACACACACACTTGGCAACAGGTTGTTATATAGTGCAGGCTGGCTTCGAACTGACAGTGTAGCTGAGAATGGCCTTGAACGTCTGACCCTCTTGCTTTGACCTCAGTGCTGGGATTACGTCACTATGTGTGTAGTCACTATGCCTGACTTATAGTATACTAGAGATAGACCTCAGATGCATGCGGGACGCTCTGCAAACTGAGCCACATCCCCACTTCCCTGATAAAATCCTTGGTTGTGGTTGGTATCTTTTATTACAGAGTCTGCCACATCTGTGACGTTCCACTTAGATCAAGGCTTTTCTAGTTATTTCTGCACTTGCCTTTAGTGTTAGGCAAGGGCTACTTTGGAGGCAACTCTGGGTGTTTAGCTGTTTTTCAGAAGTGGACATAATGCTTACCTGAGACCTGTTACAGTCTTGTGAAAATCAGACAGTGGGGTGGAGGCCCAAACATTCCACAGCCCTGCGTAACTTTGTGTGGTCTGCAAAGAAACTTGACCATGGCAAGCAAGCCTGGCCCCCTTTGGGGATCCATGTCCTCTGCTTCCCTGTGGAAATTTTCCATCCTCTTCACTTTGTTTGCAGAGAGCAAACCTCCCGGAGTTCCTGTGATTTCTGGGATTCCAGGATTAGCTTGGCCATTTTTGGAAGTTTAAACTTTCGGTTTTCCCCTCCCTTAAATTGACGGGATATAGGTTCCTCACACTGACCAGAGTCTGCTGACTAGAGTTCTTTAATTATGCTTAGGACTCTGAGTGATGTTTAAAGACATAGTCCAGTCCTGAGATTTAATTAACATGGAGGGCAGGGGTGAGGGATGGCTGCCTCATCTTGTAGTAGCAAGCATCAGAGAAAGCAGGATCTCTGCGGGCATGGAGAGGTCTTCGTGTGTAGCTCTCCAGAAAAGGGGAAGACCTTTGGAGCTCGGGGCACTTCCCTCACGCTGCCTGTTTTAGCAGGGGGCTTTCTTTCTTTTTGTGGGGATGGTGGTAGTGAGACAGGGTTTCACTATATAACCCAGGTTAGCCTTGAATTTGCCGTGGTCCTCCTGCCTAGGCCTGCCCAGTGCTGGCTTTACAAGTCAGTGTCTCCATGCCAGGCTTGACGGAAGTTTTCTTGAACACTATCAGGGAGAGGAACCCGTCACCTCATTCATTGATGGGTGGTGGGTCAGTGCCCTCGCCTGGACTCCAGCTCAGCTTGGCAGATGGTCTGGCAAACAAGGAGTAAACCCGAAAATGCAATGCGCAAGAGCGCAAAGGAGCCGGGATGATTGAGCACGTGCAGGAAGAAGTTTCCTTTGTCATCAGTGCCACGTGGCGCCATGGCGGTCTTTGCCTGGGGTTAACCCCAATAGCTATCTCCAACCGCAGCGCACGGATTGCAGACACAGTAGCGGCCCCAGCGAGGCCCTGGGGTGCGGGAAAGCGCCCCCACTGTGGGGAAATTGAGGGGC